AGACTTGCATTTAATTACATAATGTTCTTCACCGTTAATTTTGTGGTTAATTAGATGAACAGCAGTCTGTCCATCTAATTAACCATAACGTTAACGGTAAAGAACATTTTTTTATCTTTACTGTGGTAGAACCGTTTACAACAAGTAAAAAAAAAGTTACAATTCATTTTCAGTTAAGCTAGAAATTTCGCAAAAAGCCCCATATCATGTAAAATAATGAAATATTTCAGAGAGTTTTTGAAATTTTTTTATAACTAATGAATTTTGGAATTAAATTGCTTTTCTGAAACGCAGTTTTAGCAATTTTTCTAAGAATAAGCACATTTCTTTCGCTAAAAACTCTTGTTATATGCAATAATATTTCAAGGAAAATATATTCACATAGACTCCGTGAATTAAATAACAACACGCCAACATGGTAGGTCCTTCTTCTTTATAAGTAAAGATCAATTCAAAGTTATGGTAAAATAACCGTCAGCAGTCTGTCCATCCAAATAACCGTAATGGTTACATTAAAGAATGTTTTTTTACCTTTACGGTGGTGAAACCGTTTACAACAAGTATGGTTAAAGAACTATGAATACAAAACTACATGAGTTTTTAACTATTTACAACTAGCATGGTTTAAAAACTGCAAAAAAAATAAATTTAACTGGACATTGGAGATAGTTTATCAGCTTTATGATGTTTTTTCTATTATTTAACCATTTATGCTTAAATAAGAGTATTGTATTCGAACAGGCCAGGATCAAAAAGTGGGAAGAATTAGCTAGAAGTTCTTTATAAGGGAATGAAGGAAATATTGTTGGTGTCAATGCTGGGACTCGAACCTCCGTACTGTCGGTCACGAGATTGACAGACCTCTCAGCTATAATATGTACCCATTTGCCAGGAATTAAGTGACTTCTTCAGGTAGGCCTAGTTTGTGTGATATAATTCTAGGTGTTTAACCGTATTAGGTGAAAACAGTTAATAAACGGTTTTTCTCGCAGTTAACAGTTTGAATACCATCTTATTTATGGTTATTTGTCTGCTTTGTTTGAATACGGTAAAATAACAATTAAATAAATTGTTATTTAATCATTTCCCCCAATAAATTTCTAACAGTGTACCCAATCTTATTCCACTCTTCCTGCATGTAATCAGCAATTAGCTCTTAAAATTAATTGTTTTTTTTTAAATTTTAATGTTTCATAAGTTTATTTTATTCATTTTTTAAAGAAATGAGTTAATTTCAGAAAAGTATGAAAGGTGCAAAAATTAACATTTATGATTTGAATTGTTAAACATCCGATTTTGGAACAATATTTTGATTATAGAATAAAGAAAAAGAATTTAGTTATTCCTAATCGTAATAATTTTATAATTAATACTTATTTTTAGAATCACATTCACATAAAAGTTCTGTTTTAAGTAAATCAAGCATATTTACCATTAAAATATAACATTCCAAAATTATATTTTGACTTAAATCGCTCAATTTCATTTTTAGAAACTCATTTTTTATTACTTATGGAAACATGCAAAACACCTACATGAAGACAAATTGTTAATAAATATATTAGTTTTAATTAATATTCTACGCGTTGTCCACATTATTTGCTTTTGAAAAATTCGAAAACAGTTCCAAATGTATGTACTTTTAATTACATCTTAAACATCTGTTTTTATACATCTAATTTCATAATGCAACTTTGAAAGGTCAAAAAAGAAAGCTTTTAATTATACAATACTTATGATTATTTATTCGCTTTAAAATTTATAGCTATTTTTATACTTTATTTTAGAATTGAAAATATGTTTAATGCAATAATGAAGCGTATGAAGTGCATTTTACCATTACTATGTACTTTCGTTGAAAATTTATTCTTCTATTACGCCTGAAAGTTAATTTTTAAGTATAAAAAAAGCCTTGTCAAAAGATTTTTTTATTAAACATCTACATTCGAACTTATTTCTTGACAAGTATTGTGCTGTAGCATCAGGGGTTCGTCTTCCAATGAGATAAACCAGGTATGAATCCCTGCCATGGCAGGCAGATACGAATTCCGCACCCGGCTCGCATCGACTCCAATGCTGACATAAAATATCCTCAGTGGTCCTCTAGCTAGAGTCCTCTTGCAGTTAGGCTAACCGTAGAAGGTTTATGTGGTTTTTCTCCCCATGTAACGCAAATTTGGATTAGCTCCTTAAAAATGACCTCCGTGAAGGCAAATTTCTCCCAATACTTGATCCAGGAGTTCCATTGTCTTCTGGATGGGATTCAAAAATACAAGGCTACAGAGCTGAACATTAGTAGCCGTAAACCCAAAAAATTGCGTCGGCTGTTCAACGACGGTTATAAATAAAATAAAAAGTATTGTGGTGTCTTGAATCAATTAAACTTTTTTTTTAAAGAAAATCTTTGCTCTGATGAAAAATTAGTTAAAAATTATTCAATAAAATTATTTTTGATCAATTTATAAATTCATGATTTCTTAATTATTTTTTTAATTGTAAAAAGGATATTAGTCAAATTAAAATAACTCAAATGTTTCAAGCTGAATAATTCGATTAAAGGAGACAAAGAAAGAGATTAAAAAAACTAAAAGCAAAACTTCTAAACCTATTCACCCCTTTCAAACAATTCCGCAAATGAGAATTGTTATATGTTTTTGTTAATTAAATTGTTAATGCTGTTAAAAAGTAATAAAGGAAAAACTATTTCCACGAAGCTGTTCTCAAATATCCTTTTGGTGAATCATGAATACTTAAAAAGGAACCTTCCTTTTACAATTGCTAATATTTAATGAATGGTGAAAATGAACAACATTAATTTAATTGTTGATTAAATAATGCATACAACAACAGATGAATACACATTTAACAATTGATATAATTATTCTTTCAACACCTCATTTCTTTTCTAAAAATGTCAGAAGAAATAATAGATGCGTATAATATAATTGTAGCTAAAATAAACTTCGTTCTCTAACTGTTTTTTTATTCGCTAGCTTTTTTTTCTTAATTAGATCTTATAAAATATTTATTTTTATCATTATTTACTTTTATTATAAACAATTAAAACAATTAAGTTAGTTTTATGTGCACAGATTTTGATCCATTATAAAAGTTTGAAATCTAGGAATTTCCTTAATTAAGTTATCCAGAAGATAAATTAAAACCTATCAAATTATGTGTAATTGCGTAAATACTATTGATTTTATTAATATTTGATACGTACTTGGAAACAAAACTGTATTTACTTTTGAGTTTTAATTAATTTAGAAACGAATTGTTCAAAAGAAATTATTTGAACTTTTTAAAACCATAAAAAATTGGTTAACTGGTATAAATTATAAACTTTAATTCTGTAAAAAAAATAATTGATGCAATATTAATTAGTTTTTGTTAGAGTTATTTCTAAATATAAACAATGGGAGAAAAGGGAAAATGCAAGAAATTTAATCTCTTAACACATGAATTTTGTTATAAGACTTGCATTTAATTACATAAAAATCAGTGAATTGATGATGTAGAAAACAATGCATTAATTTAAATGTTATTTATTTAGTAAATATTTAAAATAATTAAAAAAGGATATGCTTGGTCTTCAAAATTTAAGAAAGTTTTAACATTATAAGTTGGTAAATATAAAAACAGTTTAATGTATTTTTAATTAAATAAATAAGAATTTTAAACATTATTTTATCTATTATAGTTCTATTTTTTTAGCATAAAATATTTATAATGCAAATATTTTTAGCATATTTAGCTTTAGTGCTAAAATTTAAGTACAAATAATAAAGAAATGTCGCTACAGTTTTCAGGAATTCTTTTCCGTGATTATTTAAAAAATCATCTATTAAAAAAATAAATGTAGGTAATAAATTAATTCACGTTAGCAAAAAAACTTTAAAAAATTTAAAAAAATAATTTAAACTGGAGCAAACATTTCATAAGAATAAGCATTTTAAAAGTGTTAATTAATGAAATTGTAGTTAAATTACATTTAACTATAAATATAGTTAATTGCATTGAATTTCAACTCCTTGTAATGCAACTCTTTTACAGTTAACTAATATACCTTAAATGGCATTCTATATTAAGCATTTTCAAGATATACTAGTATTAAATAACAAAAACAAAGAAACTACTGTTATAGTATTCAATTTAGTATTTAAACTGTATTAAACTACATACTTTGCATTTAAACCATGAATGCAGTTGTACTTAAATTACATTAAACTATAAATATCTATATTTGCATTGAATTTCAACTCCTTGTAATGCTACTTTTTTATATGTAACTAAAATACTTTAAACAACATTCTGTAATAAATACTTTCAAGATATACTAGTATTAAATAACGAAAACAAAGAAACCATTATTTATATTTATGAATAAAAAAGATAACGATAACAATGCAAAACTGCATTATCTTATAATTGCATTCCTCACCAATTAATGCATTAGCATAAAACGAAAACAAAATGAGCTTTACGGAAATATTTATCTCTTATATCACACGTATTATCGATAAATGTTCAGTGATATTAATAGTGCACTATTTTTGAATTTAACTTTGTGCATTGCTAAAAAATCCAGATCAAATTATGGCATAAAGTACCGACACTTTGGGTGCAACATCTGTAAAATCCCTTTTAACGTAAAATTAGTTTTTACCGTAAAATATTAAACCATAATTTTGACAGTTATAGTATTTAAACCAGAGTGATTCAATGATTTTACGGAAATTATTATTGTAAACATTACAGTATATCAGATTTTTTGTTCCGTAACATGTTCTGGTAAAAATGGATTTTACGATAAAATATACCGGAATCCTGAGTTAAGGTATTTTCTACCATGATTTGCTACAGAATTTTTTACAATGTATGATTAATTATTACTATTTAATACAAATCATACTAAAGTGTACATTATTTGGCATTGTTTAGAAATATAACAATGCAATAAAATTATTTTTATACAGGATCAATTATATCTTATGCTATCTTATGCTCTGCGGCCTTTTAACAGAAATCCCTATGACGGCTTAATTGAGAAATACGTATAAAACGTAATAAATTTTGCCTTGACTTGGTTTAAATTTTTTTTAAATATGAAATCGCCGTATTAATTGTGGTATTTTACCAAATGCTTAAGTTAATAATTTTTATCGAACAGTATGCATTTTTAAAAGTAATTCAAAACGAATTATATGGAAATAAAAGAAGCTTGATTTTTTGATTCACATAAAATCAAATCGAATTCATTTGCAAACTATGTATGAGGTCTTTAATATTTGCCAAATAAAGATTGTAGATCAGTTAAGGTAAATGCTAGTTTGCTTAGTTTAAAAAACAACAATAGAAATCTATCAGACAAAACCGTAAGGGACATTATAATACTTAAAGAATCCTACCCAGACAATTTAAATCTTATATTGAAAATATTAAAAATATATTGTCTTGAATTTAAATTTTTCTAAATCAACTAAAATTATTATACTAATGTTTTAATAATTAAAATTAACATAAAAAAATATTCAAAAATATAGTCTTGTTTCTTCCTTTTCTTCATCGAAATTATACTTAGTTAGAGTTTTAATGAATGTGTTTTTAGGCAGATACGCTTTTATTCTTTAATTTTATAAAATTTGTTTATTTGTTTTCATTTTTCAGATATCGAAAATACTATTGATTTTTCTTATCATTAAATAATTGATTCTTATTTTCCAAACATAGTAGCAACGATTCGTTTAATAATAAATGAAAAAAAAATTATTTTTCAAACACTGTGAAGAATTTTTCTGCATAGTTGCCGCCATTTTTGGTGTTGAGGTGTACGTGCATATAATCACATTTGTTATTTACTTTTTCACTGTATTAACTTTACTTATTTATTTAATTATTTTTTACTTATTTATTTAATCATTGTTTTGTTTGTTTATTTACTTCCACCGCATATTTTCATGGGCATTAGCATCAATTTATGGCTTCGTCACAAAAATATATCGTTTTAAAAAAAGCACATTTTAGTAGTATATCCGTACTAACTCTTTCTAACAATTTTTGCTTCGTGATTTTTAAATAATTGCTTCCACGATTGTTACAGCTCTGTACTCAAATATGTACTTAGTTTACCTCAAAACCAAACATGGCTGCAACTATGTGCAATACAATAAAATACAATAAAAGTATTAAATACAATAAAAGTAATTAAATACAAGTTTTTGAATTATGAAATGCTGATAAAAATTATTTTCAGATTAAAATACAGGAAAACTAGAAAAAAAGGTAAAAACTAGAATGAATATTTATTTATTTGTTAATTTTTGTTATATACTTCAGTCTTACAAATTTGCTTTCGTTTTCTTCAATATGTAAAGGGAAAAAAAAAATAAACTTAACTATGTCTTTGGTATTTATAGTAAATCCATATTATCCATTATGAATTCAACTTCGCATTATTAAAAGACAAAACTGAAGTTTGAAATGAAATTTTGATAATTAAAGTGTTGACTAAGATTTAAAATACTATTATACAACATGAACAATAACAGTGAATAAAACTGTGCCTGCATATATGTGCTGTATAAAAACCTTTTAAAATAATACTTTTCAATTTTAAATTAATATTAAAAAACAAATTCGTAAATTAAAATTCAATTTAAAGATATAAAATTTAAAAAATACTTAAAAATAATGATATAAAATTTTTTTTAAACTAAATTATATTTTATATTTTATTACTTAAAAAAAGCTTTCCTATTCAAATAAATTATTTTTTATGCATTATAATAACCGAGATTTTAAATTTTTTGATACTAAAAGTACTTCTTTTCAAAGTATAATTGAAGAACATGTTTTTAAATATTTTGTATTCGTTGATAAGCATATTTAATGATAAGTACATTTTGAATTAAGTTAAATAAAAAATTAGAAACAGTGAAATTATTTAAATTAAATTTCATTAAAACATAATTTCAAAAACATAATTTTTTAAAAGCAAATTTTATAAAAACAGTGTCGTTCACTGTAAAAAATTACAGACCAAATTATGGTATAAAGTATCGGCACTTTGGGTACATCATTTTAAAATTTATTTTACCGTAAAATTCATTTTTACCGTAATCTTTACAGTAATAGTTATTTAATGAGAATGATTCAGTGATTTCATTGTAATTATTACTGTAAAAACTACGGTATGGCATTTTTTTCCGTAAGAAGTTCCGACAAAAATAAATTTTACGTTAAAAGTACCGGCACCTTGAGTGCCGATACTTATTAACGTTATTTGATCCAGAATATTTTCACGGTGTAGGCGTTTTGTAATAGAACTATTCAGTCATTGTATTATGATGCAATATTTAAATTATTTTTACTCTCATATTCGGAAAATTTAAAATTTTTAAATCTATATTCAGATCAATAGGAACAGAATATGAATTACTACATTTTCTGTTGGAGTGCTGTGTTTTACATTAAATAGATGAAAAGCTTCCCCAAAGGTCAAAAGTTTAAAACTTAAAGTTTTAAGATGTTTGTCACTTATATTTTTTCCTCAAATATTTTTTAAAGAAACACATATTAAATAATTAAAATGTTTTCAAATGTGTAGTATGATGCACTTATTCATGCTAAACTATAAAACATTATTTATTGTAAAGAATGTTTACATATAAAATTGAGCTTGTTTTGGCATTTTTTTAATTCACATTTTTTTTAAAGAGTTACTTATAACAGGTATTTATTGCAGTACATATTACAGAGACTGAACTATGTCTGAGATTCTCGAATTCTAAAACTAGAAAGAAGAAACTGAAAGTTAATATTTATATAAGTTATAATTAACTGAATTTTAATTTAATGAATAACATGAATTTTGAAGTGTTGAAAGTCACTTTTAAGAGCCATTAAAAATAATATGGTCTTTTACTAAAACAACTTTGTGTTTATGGATGTTCTCTGTTTTATTATTTATTTATTTTTAGAGCGGAAGTTGTAACAATTATTATCCAAATATGCTAGTTATTTCGTCATTCCAACTGAATTAGTTTGCATCTCAGAGCAGTGATTTAGATAATATATTTAATAAATATTTATAAATAGATATTACTTTTAAAATAATTGAATTTTAATTTAATGGATAACTTGAATTTCAAAATGTACAAAGTCACTTTTAAAGACTATAAAAATAAACTTTTCTTTTAATAAAACTATTTTGTGTTTATTGATATTCTCTGTTTTATTATTTATTTACTTTTAGAGCGGAAGTTGTAACAATTATTATCCAAATATGCTAGTTATTTCGTCATTCAAACTGAATTAGTTTGGATCTCAGAGCAGAGATTTAGTTAATATATTTAATAGATATTTTTAATAATTTAGCACAGATTTAGCTAAAAGCAGAATTTTAGTTTTTTATTTGAAAATATTAATAATAATTCCGGTTAATACCAGCAACTACAATGAATGTTACAAGTATCAAAATATTATAAATAACAAGAGCGTTATTTAAAGTTTTGATTCGATTATATAACCATTTTGTCTAATTTTATTACTATTTAACTTCAGTTTCTTAATTAATAAAATGTTCATAAATAAAATTTTGCCTGTTGTTTTTGAGCTAATTATAATTTATACAATATTTTTTAGACAATACAATTTACTAGTTACACATCCGAAAATTAAATTTTCCACTGAACAATAATACTATTTCCAATATTGTCTTTACTTTTACTATTAAAAAGTAAAAAACTTTTTTTTATATTTTATTAATTATACACTTTTATAATTATATTAGTTACACTTTCATAAATCCACTGTTTCCTATGTGCAACACAATTTTATTATTGTCTTTCTTTCTCATTATAGAAATTTTATAAATGAATTAAACTATACATTGAAATAACAAATTTCCAGTTACTTTTTGTATTTATATGATTATTTTCAATAATAATAAAGATTTTAACAACTGCCATTATGTTGTCATTATTGTCTTATAGTTATTTTTTTCTGATAAATGATTCACAATCTCGAAACAATTACATACAAAGAGTAGGATGATTAATTTCATTTATTTTTCTTGTTTTGATGCTCTTTTCAAGGATATTTTTTTCGTAAATCTTTCTCCATTAGTTTTTTATTTGCATTTAGAATAATCTCTCGTTTTTTTATTAAAAATTATTGACTTCAAAACGCAATTTCAAAAGTAAACATTTCCAGTAAAAATATATTAAAATATTCTAGAAAAATGAATGTTTGAAAAAAAACATTTTTTTCTTAGAAAAATTGGTTCATATTTCTTAAAAATTTACCTCGAAATTGGCCATTAAACACGACCTTATGTCTATCACGTTAAGATGGCTAATTTAAATACAATAACTTATCTCATCTTGAAATATAATTCTGTAATAAATGAGAAATCGTTTTGGGGATAGTTTTGTCTGTTATATAGCTTTCAGGGCGCAATAAAACTTCTGATTCATAATAACAAGTAGAAAAGAAACAATTATTCAGCAGTTTTTTTTTATTTTATTTTTTGTTGTTGTTGTTCTCTCCCAAGATAGCGAAGAAGAAAGATTTCATTCAATATCAGGATTTTTTCAGTTGATGCTTCTAACAACAATAAAAGAAGCTAACAAACTTCAATAATTCTAATACTCTAACTCTCCCAACGTTCAAAACTTTGAAAAGAACTGTGAATGGAATTAGGAATTGTAAAAGAGAAGTTGTTAGTGCCATTTGTACTAATGCTTAAAAAAAATTTCTACACCGAGATAAAAAAAAATATGAACAAAGCTACCAGAATATAGTAAAATTTACCGTGTTTCTGGTTCTATACCAACTTCCAAAAATTAGGTACTTACTGAAGCGCTTTGCTAGTCATTTTGGTGGTAACAATACAATAAAACATTAAAATATGATATTTCTACATTAAAATATGCATGAAAAATAAAATATGATTTTATAATAATATAAGTTAAAATTTGGTAATTTTATCATGATTCCTTAGAGCATGGCAAAAATACTATTTACTCGGTAAAATTTACTTTTGAATTTCGTATTTTTTTGTATTTTTTAATTGTATAGTAATAAGAGCTATAATTTTGAAGAACGGAATTTTGGCTAAACCGTTACTATATGAGCGAAAAAATTACTATTAATTGAATGGTTTAAAAACCATGTATTTTGGGTTTCATTAACAAAATTATGTTGTTGTTTTTTTCATCAAAAATGTAATTACTATAGAATACAGTAATTTCAAACACATTTTTTTCCGTGCAGGAATTCAATTCAACTGTCACATACAAAAAATTGATTGATGTTTTCTATTTAATTTTTAATCCATATTCTTAACATAAAAAAAAGTTAAGCGATGGACCAGAATAGTTACACTAGTGCTATTTGGCGGGAGTAGCACTAGCGGCATTAAATTAATGCGTAAATTATTATGATGTTTTTTTTAAACAAATTCAACATATCATAGACGTCAAAGTTCATATGTTTGGCAAAATCATTTAATCAGTTAAATAATCCTTTTACGAAGGAAATCGAAATATTGTTTAAATATTTAAAAAAAAACGACGACTTTTTACAAAGATATTGAAAAAATATTTAAAAAATTTCAAGGAATTTTTATGAATCAAATTTATTTCCAAACATTTTTAACTATTTCACATAATTCAATAGGCGTCTTACGTTACACTGTAAAAAATTCCGGATTAAATTACGATAAAAAGTTTCGGCACTCAGGGTACCGGTTCTGTTCACCGTAAAGTCCACTTTTACCGTAACAAAAAAAATCAGATATACCCTAATTTTTACAGTAATAATTACCCTAAAATCCGGAAATAACTACCCTAAAATCCTTACCCGGATATTACGGACAACGCACAAAAGTACCAGTACAATATACCGTAATTTTATCCAGAATTTTTTACAGTGTAGACTAATTTTAATTAGTTTTAATTGCACTAAACATGGGGAAATTCATTAATTTTCTCACTATTTAACAGAATACTGAGCCTAATTATTACTCTATGAAATTTACCGTCTCACATGGGTTATTAAAATATAGTAAAAAGACAAGTATTTTTCAGTTACATTGTTGAAACCATTTTCATTTGATTACATAGTTACTCTCAAGCAAAAATTAGTCACGTGAGCTGCAAAAGCAAGTAAAATAATAATAAGTATTCATAATGAAGCAACTAAACATAAAAAGTAATACATTTAATGCTCGAGGCGGTTTGACAGCATTAATCGTGAACAACTACAACAAGAGGAATACATGTTAACGCCAATTTCGATTTTTAGTGAATGCTTAATGGTTTAGAAGATATCTATAAAAAAATTACAAAAAAAATAAGGGTGTGTGAAGTAATATTTTGACGTACATTTTCTACTCTTTCTCATTCGTCGACAGGTGGTCATTTTCGTTTGATTGTCTATTCTGATGAGTTTGACAAGAGTCGCCCCGCCCACAATCCCTGCTTCTGCAGCTGAATTTATCAAGCTTGGTATCTTAGCTTTTAATATTATGTTGTATTCACTTCTATTATAGATGAGACTCAAATATACCCAAGCAAAATAAAAATAAAAAAAAGAAAAGAAAAAAGAAAGAAATATTAACAATCCACACATTTAGAACACATCAGTATAAGTCGTTTGGCCTGTGCTAAACCATAACATTTGAATTTGTAAATAGTTTTCATAATTTCCAAGTTGAACGGTATGATTCTTGAATTTGAATACACGATTCAAAATTGGATCAAAATATGATCCAATTTTATAGCTTCTTAAGGTTGAAAAGGAATTTGCATGATATTATGGTTTCTGTCATTGCTACTATGATTCAACGTTACTGGCAAGGCATCAACCGATGCTAGCTTGTTAGAATGATAAATACTTTTTGAAATTTCCTGATTCTATGTGTCATGTTTCAAGAAGGAATATTTGACTAAAATTTAATGAATCAATTATTTAATCGATTCATTTACTTGTTTCTTTAAAAATATTACATTAGTTTATTTAATTCTTTAGGACTTATGAACCAATTAAAAACTGCTAAAATGTTAACCTAATATTTAAAAAAAATTCGAAGCAGATGACATATGCTTCACAATTAAAATTAAATTTACATCAATAACATATTGTTTTTAGATGAGCTGCTGAGAGACTTTACTCAATGCTAGCTTCGCTCACCAGCCCATCACAATTGTTATAATAATTTTTTGATTCTTAACCGTAAAAAAACTGTTACATCTTAGTAAAAAAGTATTCAATTGAAAGATCAAACAATTTATTATATTGATTCAGATTTGGTTTCTCAGATTTAGTTCCCGATTCTATTAGAATAAAATTTTAACTTAACCATTAGCTCAGTTAACGTAGCAACTTCTACAAAAAAGTTACAGTGTTATATTTAATGTCTGGTAACTATAAGAACTCGTTGAATGTTTTTCATTTAAGAATGTTTTTTTCATTAAGATTGAATGTTTTTCATTAAGATTTTGTTATTTAGTATTAGTGTAAAAAGTTGTTTCAAACAATATTTTGTAATTTTGTGTTCACTATTTTAATCGCATATGTTGAAAAGATTTAGCAGATACCACAAAGCTTATTATAAAAGTAAACATAACTTTTTTACGCTTTATTTGTAAAACAGTTTATATATTCAAATACCGATTTAAATATTGTTTTCATAAAGATTGAGTAATCAGGTCATATTATAGGATTACTTTATAATAAAGCGACACAGATTTTAATTTTAAATCTTATATTTGTAATATTATAATTATTTGGAATTATTGGAATTATATAATAATAGCAGACAATCCTAAGGAAGATAAATAAGTATTAGCGATGAGTACAATCATAGTAGAGCAGTACCAATATAACTTTATGCTTTTGATAACCAAAGAAGTTAGATTTTCATGTGAGAAAACTGGATCATACCATGTGATTTATCTGTTCAATGAGAATGCACAGACAGACCATCACTTCCATCTGAATTTTGTGTAAATGGAACAAAAATGGCATTTGTGATTTTTAGCATTTAGTTAAGTTAAGAGTGACGCATAAAACATTTTATGCATGAAATGATTGATATTAGGTCATTTTTTCCCATTTGGTCTTTTAAT